CTCACCTCGTCTCACAACCCACTCACAATGGTGGGCTGTCCCGAATTGTCTCCCACGCAACGATTGCAACAGGGACAGGGGAAGGGGGGGGGGGGGGAGCGATCGCCGCCGGTCGGCCAGGGCACCAACCGAAGCGGCCGCCGGCGGTGGGAGTCTGTCCGCCGGAAGTCGGCGATCGAGGCTGGGAGCGGCACCCGGGCGCCAGCCGGCTCCGATGCAGGGGGGCCCGCACCGCCGGCTGGCTCGGATCCATCACACCACTCGGCTGGTGTGGCGACTGCGTGGCGCCGCCCGCGTCACATCTGCTCTCGCCAGTAGTGTCCCACTACATCATAGTACTACTGGCATGTCAGCCTGACATTGACACCGTGCACCGGTACTGAGCGGGCAGGCTGCGCCGGCGACACGGCGCCCCGGTTCCCGCACGGTAGCCAGGTGACCAGGGGCCTCCGATGTCTCCCGTCGCGCACCTTCCATTCGTCGGACGGTGGCACCACCCTTCAGTATTGGACCACGTGTCATCCCTGGACAACGGTCCTGCACATGATCGGCCTCAGGGTCAACACGTTACTGTATTCCTGCGAAGACTACATGCATTCGATGAAGACATAAATATATCACATAACAGGCAGAATCGAGTTCGTTTTGGTTTCGCTTGTTTATGCCACTCACAGCTTCACGCACCTTACTTTTGCAATTATCAAAGCAAAACAGGAACTTTGGGCGCAAGCTCAATACAAGTTTGCACTTCGTTTTCAAGATTTCGTTTGAGCCCTTTGACTAGATAGATCTCTGAGACAAGGGTCGACAGAAGGCCTGAATAACCCTTTTACCGGGTTTAACCCACCTTGTTTCAATGAAAGGCAGTGTATTTGTTCACTTTTAGTTTTCATTTATTACTATTCATTTTTGTATCATTTATAAAGGCCTTTAACCTCAGCAACATGACAGTCATTATGAAGGGCAAATGACAGTGTTAAGATGTGTAAAAACAGTACCAACGCTGACCAAATTTATGCTGACCACCTTCGTGATGTGCCAAAACGTATGGTGGAGGTTTCGCCTTCCAGAACAACTGTTCATATATGGCCCGCAGAAAAGGGCTATTAAGTCGCTGGCTTGGTAATGTCAGCTCGGTTACAGGACAGCCAGGAGCCGTGTGGTTACATGGCGCGGTAAAGCTCCTTGCGTGCTATTCCGATAAGGGCCCGAAGCAGAATAAGTCCGTTGGAACTTCATTACAGTTATGAGATGCTAGAGTTATGAGATGTCACAGTTATGAGATGTTATAGTTATGAGATGTTATAGTTATGAGATGCTAGTTCGGAGTGAAAGCGACAAACCATTTTCAGCAGTTTCCCATTCAAAATCTGTCCCAGCAAAATGCTCGTTTTCTGTTTGGTGTATTGTGTGTCCCATTTCACAGCTGAACCTGTATTTCGAACTAACGATGCCCCACCGAAACTAATATTCTGTTGTCCGTTTTTTTCAGTACAGCACAGAACTTCGGGTTTCAAGTAAAACAATGTTAGTCTCATAGTCTTCCACATGTAGCAGACACAACGTCGCTGGGCAAAGTCTTTACGAGACCTGTGAATCAGTGATGTCAATGGTCTATCCAGGTTATGGGAAAAGGCGCCTGGAGCTACGTTTTGGCGGGGAAAAAAGCACGGCGTACCTGAAAGGGATTACCCCCCTCCCCCCATTACCTTAGGTCACCAATCATTTAAGGAATCATTTTGTAGTTGCGGGGATCAAGCTAACCCGCTGGATCCTCCAAGGTGACGCCACTATGCAGATAGATCACAGAAGATAGTCTTGGTATGTTGGTGAACTTCTACCTAACCTACGGTGGCATTCCAGCCAAAACATTGGGAGGGAGCAAGCCAACATCGGAGGGAAGGGGGACTCAACAGGGTGAGGTTAGGGCCCTCAAAAAAGAGCACAAATCGTCACCCACGCTCTGAACTGAATGCCAGCGCTAAGCAGTGCTTGTTGCGTGAGCACCGACCCCGCCGGGGACCGTGGAAGTCCGGGTGAACGGCAAATTGTGGTGCGAAACGAAAAAAGTGCCTCAATTATTGGCGCGACCTATCCTGTCCTCTAATGCCACCTGAACTTAGGCGTGGCTGCTGCCACATGCCACAGGACATCCCAGTCAGAGGCGCACGGCGAGCACACAGAGCAAACCAAACCCAACCCACCACGCACGGGTGCATGGGCGGACGGACGCTCAAACCAAAAACGGTGTAATTTAACCTAGAAAACAATTAACACTGAGACCCTTTTATGCTTTGCCGACGCTAGAGCTGCCGTGGCACTACCCAGTGTTATTATAAGACTAATTGGTCCTGCTGTTTCACTACAGCATGCTTTTGAAATCTCCTCCAAATATGGAACACTCCCTTCACAAACGCCACGAATCTGGAGCCAGTGTTAGCCCTAGAAAATTGCTCACAGCTGATGCTGCACCAAAACCTAGAAGTCAATGCACAGAAGCTAGAACTTTCGAAAGCTGAAGCTGAATGTGGCCTTGTCCCCACATCTAGTGATGAATATTGTTTTTCTCAAACATTTGCATGTGCTTCAGTGCATTGCTACTGATTTGAAAGTTGCTGGACACAGACAAGAACACTTTCATTTTGGTGGGCCAGACCCCATCCAGAAATGTTTTATCTTTGCATCAGGCCATGAGCTGAGACAGCTAGATTGACAGACAATGTCAGATCTACACAAGCACATCCACATGAAGTCCCCCAAATCCAACATGTTTTTGGACAAATACAATTATCCTTGGACTGAGGAATCTCATTTGGTGTTTATTTTGTTGATACCCAACACAGAGTAGTACACATGCATTTTTACAGGTTGCATATGTCTTTGTGCATCCCTTTATTAGATGCTTTTCATTACAATGATTGAGGCTCAGGTGCCAGTTGAGAACCAAACCCATACCTCCCAAGTGGAAGTAAAGCATGCTCCTCACTGGCTCAGGTGCCAGTTGAGAACCAAACCCATACCTCCCAAGTGGAAGTAAAGCATGCTCCTCACTGGCTCAGGTGCCAGTTGAGAACCAAACCCATATCTCCCAAGTGGAAGTAAAGCATGCTCCTCACTCAGGCATTTCATCCCTGATGATACACTCCTCAAAACATCAGCACAAAGGACATTTGAACATGATAAAATATGTTTATGCCTGGACTGGTTCAAAAACATGTGGTGCTTTCATCAAGAGCTGCATGACCTGATTCAATGGTTGGTCCCAGCACTTCATGACAAGAGAGAGGCCTTTTCAGAGAAGTTTCTACCTTTCCATCAGGAATTTGCAGAACCCTTAGCAGCATACCTGACTTACATGATATAAATAGATGCCTACCTATACATCATTTATTCATTCATAGACACAAATATATACATATATAAACATATACTATCTAATGCAAGCTGCAGACATGTAGTGCAAGTGGATATCAATCAATCCACACTTTGTGGTGGGAACCTAGGTCTTGAAAGGGAGCTAAAGATGTGGAGCTCATATCCCAAATTACTGCCAGTTCTCAGAATCTGGAAAATGCCATAGCAGTTATCTAAAGCACCACTGCAAACTTTCTACATACTGAAGAGATTTAACTGTTTTGAATCTTTTTCATTTGATGTTTGTGGTCTTCAGAACCACTGAACAATGTGGTGCACTTGGTGCAGCAATACATGTCTGGGCAGAGTTGCTGTTTGTTGTGGCTATCTTTCTAGACACTTTTGCAGCTTGCTGAGGTGTAGAGCTTTGTTAACATAAAATATACTCTATCTTTAATAACTTCCCTAGTTTGTCAAACAAACTTACTTTAGTGAACACTGTAGGCACAGTGGTCATTTATGACACTTCCTGAATAAGGCCGTCTTTATAAGACAGCAACTCTCAAAGCATTTAGTATATCATCGGTTATCATAACAGTGTTGTATCATGACATGACACATCATATCATCCTAACTTAAACTAAAATTACAAAACTGCCATGCTGACAGCCACCAATACACATGCAGCAATATTAGCTGACTAGCAAGTTGAGCTATGAGGAGTGTGCCAAAAAGTATTGTAGTGATTGCTAATGGCCAAAACAAATGATAGTTATTTACCAAACACAAATTCATGAAACTACCAATGACAAAAAAGCAAATATAATGGGCTGGATCATGCACTGACCATTGCCAAGAGAATGATATGGCATACTCACATATTTTTGTCCATATTTTTGCTTTTATGGATATATGTTGCAATATATACCACATCTCAGTCCAAGACAAAGCCAGACTTAAGCACATGAGGTTGGCAAGAAAAGGACCTTCAGGATTTTACATACTAATTCTCAATAAGTGTTGGGTAGAGTAACATATTACAACTAATATTTTTTATCTGTTTTGCATATTCTTGCATGATGATGATTTGGGCTTTGGGGCACACTGACTATGTTGGTCATATGGCACCCATAACCTACTTATATTCTTGCATACAGGTACTAATTTCATTACATGATCATACAATTATCCGATTTACCACACAAAGAACAAACTTAGCTGGGGCAGGTTTACATCAGAACAGCCTCACATTCCACATACTCAAATGCTGAGATGACAGCACAGTCAAGTGGTGTTGGTGCGGCAGAGGTTACCAATGTTATTACATTGTTATCCAAAAGCAAAACCCTTAAGAACAACATCACATCATCAATTGGATACGAAAAAGCTTGTAAGCTACTGTCTTTTAAATTGTACTTACATTTGATGACTGAAATTCAATTATGACCCAACATTGGGAGCAAACATGCACATCAAAATGCTAGTTTACATTGCAAACTGGGCATGAAATGGGACTGCACTCCTCAGGCTTGTCATGGTGCCCATCCCACACTGATGATATGTGTTGGGAACTGTGCACCGATACAATCAAAACGTAATGCCACACCTACCTTTTCTTGACTTTCACATGCAAGTAGGTTACTTACCTTAAGTTATTGTCTTTCCATAAGTTGACAGCGATGTAAGTAGATCAAAATAGGTTTATCATTCAGATTGTCTAACTACTGCATACCTGAATGTCCAGAACTGCCCGTGGCAGGCCGCATTAATCCACACCTAAATTGGCATCCACTGTTCACAAAAGCAGCACGCCGAGCAGCCCCGAAAAATACTCATTCGTTCAACGTATTTAGCTTAAAACTGGAGACTGCTATACGGTGTATTTTCCACGGTCCAGCTCCTTTTCCCCGCTGGCTCCGGCCCCTTACTTTCGATTCCCCACCCCACACATCCACACAACAAACTAAACTCCCGTATCGATACGCACAAGGCCGTGTAAGGAGGACAGTATCGTCCAACGATTTTAGTTCTCATCTACTTAATGTTTCGTGACGTCATTGGGGAAAAAGACGACAGTGCAGATTCAGGACTGGGCTGGAGATGACAGAGAGTACTGACCAGAAAAAAATGGGATATGACAGAATAATGCACCACAAGGTGAGCGTGGGCTAAAGGAAATTCGCTAGCATAAATCGAGGAGCGTTATTTCCTATAGCCTTCCCCAATGACAACATGAACCTCAACTCGGCTCACGTGTGTCCAGACATCCCACGCTCAGCCCAGGGTCGGCCCAAGCAAGCGGCCCCTTCAAAAACACTCGATATGTGATATGTACGATTTTGAAGGATCTGCATGAGTTGAACACATGGATACACTTCCATGCGCGGGGAACACAAGAGTTTGGCTTTTAATAGTTAGTTTTACAAAGATCACTTCCCCTCGGTCAATATTCACCAAATCAGGCACGTCATATATTCAAAACTATCGCCTTTATCCAATTTAGTCAGCGGTGTGTCAGGATTCTTCGAATAAGTCAGAAATTCAATATTAGAACAAAGCCAACTCTTCACCTCAGCCACGCCTCTGCCCACGCTGAGCCGACGGTCGGCTATAAGTGGCGGATTATTTTTAGGTAGACTTATGCCGGGCGTGCGACAAATTTGTTTCCATGCATATTAGGCCGGGGATGTTAATATGATGCATATTAGTCGCCGCTGAAAAGACTCGGCATGACAGCCTGATTCCAAATCGGGGCTCTATTTTCTATCCGCACGTTTTGTTCCAGTGTTACAGTGGTGCAAAATCATATTTTTACCTAATGCTTTACTTTCCGTAGAGATAAGCACATCCATGTCCACCTTCCATGGAGTTAGCATGCGAGTCAATGGGCCTGATTTCGGCGGCTCCTTGCGATTTCACTGATTTTCAGGAAAAAGGAAAATAGAAGACGGAGCTGAGATTTGGAATCAGGTCGTCATGTGTTCGGCGAGATGCGATTTTGGATAAAGTATCCCATCTTCTGAACACGTTTTCTTCCTGGCCCGTTTTAAATGGAAACTGATGTGTCAGATGTATAGATACATTTAATCTGAAAATCGGGGAAATCTTATGGGCCGACGAAATCAGCCCTATTGACTCGCGTGTTAACCTCCATGGGGAATAAAACGGATGGAAACTGATTTCGCATAACTCTAACTCCGGAACCAGAAATGAGGATAGAAAACAAGGCCTAGATTTGGAATCAGCTTGTCATGTCGACCCGTTTGAGATGTGAGATTGCATTCGGTAGGATGTTATTTTTAGTGAGATATATCACCTTCAGTTTATTGGTGAGAAATTTATTGGTGACTTCAGAGGTTTGTCTGAGATGAAAGTTGGCTTCATTCTAATGTTGCTGAATTTCTTTCTTTTTTTAATCCCGACATACTACCAACTAAATTGGACAAAGACGATGATCTTGAATATTTGACATGTCTGATTTGGTGAATATTGACTAGCCGGAAATGAATTTTGTGGAATTGACGATGAGAGCCAAGTTTCTGTATTCCCCGCGCATTGGTGTGCATCGTTGTGTTCACCTCATCCGGACCCTTAACATATCACATTTCGAGAGTTTTTGGAAAGGACGCTTTTCGGGCCTACGGTGGCTGAGTGTGGGCTGACCTTGACCTTCACAGACATGCCTCGGCTCTTGTGCGCCCTTACCCCCGCCTTCTCTTTCCACCCAGCACTGACCAGCGTCATCATTATCACTCCACATATGGCGTCCCCGTGTTTTACTGGCTGTGGTACACTGGACGGCAATCTAAGACCGGCGCTGGCGGCGGACGGCAGCCGACGATTCCGTGGACCACGCATGCGGGCTGACACTGCTACATGAACGGAGCCATACATGACATATGTACATATACATATGCTAAAGAAAGTGAGACTACTCATCATTGCGCCAAAAAATCAACACAAAACACGCCTGTTTCAGTTTCATGTCACTACAGGGCAGGATTTAGTAAATATGGGCATGCAAAGCTGTAAAATGTTGTTTTCCGCAATACTTAGGCCCTTGACCTAGCATGATGATCACACAGCTAGGCGCGCAGCCAGAGTATTGGCAAGGGAGGGGCACATGGCTGACGGAGGGCCCCCGTACAGTAAAAGGCCTCAGACCTTCAGACCTTCTGACCCGCGCAGTTGACCCTGGATAGACTTAGGAACCCCCGTTGATGCAACAGGATCTCTAATGGCCTCAGGTGGTCCAATAGTTGATACACAAGCTCCAGTTGGGCTTAACAAACCCATGCTGAAGTTGGGTTCGAGGGCCCACCATTCGGTCCTGGGAACCCTGACTGGCACAGGACTGTGACACCGCCTCAAAGTGAACAATCGTCCTAAGCTGTCATGCTTCCTTTCATTGCCAGAGGGTCAGACCAGCGCAAGAGGCCATCTGTCACTCGGGATCCCGTCCCCGTCCCTGCTGAGCAAATCTTCCTTTGACCGACTCGGGGCCCCTTGTTGACACGGAATACCCTGTCAGGCACTGTGGGCCCCTGGTCGATATGGGAGTGCCGCATTAATGTAATCACGAACAAATGTAGATCGTGGACTCAGCCATGGCCTGTTTCAAAATGGCTCTCAGAGCTGAGACCAGCACGGCGCCGACTGATCCGTGTTGGTGATTCGCGGTTAAAACGGAGGAATATCTGTCTCAGGGGTCCCCAATCGGTGCAAGAGACCCCTGACTGATATCTGAGATCACGACCCTACGGGCGGGTTCCTTAACGTGGCCTAGAGCCAGCCCTTTGGGCCGTTCAGCCTTCCAATCAGGCCCGTGATCTTTGGTCTCGAGAGACTCTTCGGCCCCTTGTCGTCCCCCCCCCCCCCCCAAGCACCGCTCTCGACCGAATAGGGCCACTTGCCGCCACACGACCCCTGTTAGGTACTATGACTCCTGACCGACACAGGAGCCCCTCGTTGTGCCAGCGACTCCGAACATTGCACATTGCGGGCCACGACCTCATTCCTGCTTGGGAAATAGGTCTCAAGGGCTCAGGCGCACACGGAGCCGACTGTTTAGCTCCGCATCGAGACCCTATAAAAATAGAAAAAGAGAGCCTTAATAAGAAAGCCCTAACAAAAGCGCTCTGACTGAAATTTTTGATCACGGCGTTTCGGGTGGGGGACCGGGCCCGACTCTCATCGGGCGCTTGATCTTTGGTGCCGATGGGGCCTCTGACATGTCTCCGAACCTCAAACAAAGCCCGCAATCGACCAGGGGCCACATGCCGAGACATGCCCCCTGTTGTGCACTGTGGGTCCCTGACCGACACCGACACAGGGGCCCAGCCACTGTTCAGGGACTCAGACCAATGCGAATCGAGGCATCCAATCTTCCTCCTGCTTGGAAAATGGGTCCCCGGGATTCAGACTGACAGGGAGCCAAGCGTTCGGTGTTGGTGATCTCTGGCCGACTTAGACACCCAAATTGTCTCAACGGGTCCTCAAACGGTGCAAGAGGATCTTTGGCTGATCTTTCAAGTCACGACCCTACGGGCCACTTTATGGGACCTACAGCCAACCCTTCTAACCCTTATGCCCCTCATCCAGGCCTTTAACAGTCAGCTGCGTTGGGACCCCGGTCCCCTCTTCGGGCGTCATCGAACACTGTCCTTGGTCGACTCGGGCCCCCTGCAACACATGACCTTCTGTTAGGCGCCGTGTGCCGCTGACAGATACAGGGGCACCCACCAGTAAAAATATCTGGTCCCGGTTTTGTAGCTGATTGGGAAGCGTGCCTCACGCTTCCCAATCACGCCACGGAGCGGACTGGGCGGCACTGACGGTACCTCACCGACATGTAGACCCATATCAACTCAGGGTGTCCTTGATCGGTGTAAAATGGCCCTTTGACTGACATTTGAGAACCTGTCCCTGCAGACCGGGGCCCCTGAATAAGATTGAAACCAGCCCTTCGTGCCCTTAGACCCTGCAATAGAGTATTTGACCGCCGGACCCGGTTGGCCCTCCGGGCTCTTTGGGCCACCCCGAATACTGCCTCTGGCCAATGTAAATCGTTGCTCCGGCTTTATCCCCGCTTAGAAGATAGGCCCTCAGGCCCATGCTGCCACGGGGCCGACTGTGCTTTACTGGTGGTGTATGAACAATATATGGGCCCTATCAACCAAGGGACCCCTGATCAGCACGCAGGGCTCTTGGCCCGGCCCTACCGACCGCGGCCCCTGAACACGACCTCCGGTCGGCCCTTCTGGCCCTTCAAGGCCTCTAATGAGGCCCCAATCATATGTCCCGAGGAGGCCCTTTGGACTCCCGGGAACCTAAGGGGGGGGGGGGGCGGGGGTGCACGTGCCTCCTGTACCCCCCCCCCCCTCTGCCTGCGCTACTGCTAACAACAAAATACTTATGTCTTATCACGAGATCTTGTTAAAACCAACTCACTGGTGCTTTATGCTGGACTTAATCTTCCTTGGTCTGGAAACGACAGGGCGAATGGTGTCGCGTCGCCGCTATACCAGTCACCGCCCAGGTTTACCAGTCTGCGTTACAAAAACGGCGGATCAGGGCAGCTGTTGCGCACCGGCATACTTTCTTTTAAGTCACCGACCATCTTCATGTGCACTAAGTGCGCACCTGTAAGATTTTCACCCGCCGTGGTGCAGCACTCGTGTAGCCGTACCGCAATTGACATGGTAGGGATAGTTAGAATGGTTGACGGACGCCGTCTTTGTGTATGACGCGGGCCTCGGCTGCACACGGCACGAAGGTCCAGCTAATTCGAAGACTTGACGCAAGGTGGCAGGGTTGGCTGTTGGCCACGCTGGTGCGGGATGCCGAGACTCGCCTCTGAGCAATGAGGAAATTCCGAATCAGGTGTTCAAGGTTCTAAAACTGAATGGTGCGCACGCGCAATGGAAAAGCTCGTTTCACTCCGGCACAAGCATAA